AAGGATCTAATTCCAGTCGTAATATTTATTCTCAATACCTTACCAAATACCTCTACCGGGTTCCCTCTATATAAACTATAGTATAGACAGAAACCACGGTTCCTCCTCTAGCTAATACAAGCAGTATCCTCTATTCCTCTTACTAAAAAGAGAGCCAAATACTTTATAGAAGAATACTAATTCTTACTAAGAGAGGCCTATAATACTATTATACTAGCTCAAGTATATATAAAGGCAATTTATAATAAAAAAAGGAAACCAGTAGAAATCCATATTAGGAATAAAGTCTATTTAAAATTAGTAAAAGGAGTAGATAATAGATATAAGCTTCTAGATAACTTTATAAAGTTCTCTTTTAATAAAATAGGCCCGTATAAGGTAACCAGAGTTATAATACTGCTTTTATTCAAATTAGAACTACTATTCTAGCTAAATATCTATCCCGTTATATCTATTAAATACCTGGAACTAAAGAATATAGATCCATATAAGAAAAAGAACCCAGAACCGGAACCGATTCTTATAGACGGAGAGGAGAGATATATTATTAAAGAGATTACGGATAAGGAAATAAGAAATATACCAGGATAATAATATAGATAACCGTTCTACTAAGTCTATTATATGGGATATAATATAAAGAAGTAGAGAATAGGAAATAAGCTAAGAGCGGATATCTCTATACTAGTTAAGAAGTTCAAAAGGGACCTTTTAACTAGATACTAATACTATTAACTATTTGAATATCTTATTTAGAATATTTATATATAGGAATAGTATTTTGCAAAAAGCGGAAATTTATATATAGAAGGATTCCGGAATTATATTCTTAGCCTTATTAAATATAAGGCTAGTAATTATTACTAAAATATTTATAACTATAATAGTTAATAAACTAATAAATTAATCTCCTTATCCGTATATCTCTACTTATCTATAAACCTCTATATATCTATATACCTCTATTTATCTATATACCTCTATCTATCTATATACCTCTACCTATCTATATACCTTTATATATCTATATACTTCTACGAATTCCGCTATACCGCCCTTTAGCAGAACCCTTAAGAAGCTAGCGGAAGCAAAGCTTAAGAAGAAATAATAGAGTCTAGCCGGAAACGCCTCTATAGTACTAACGGATATTACTATAGGACTAATTATAGTCTATAATATACTGCTAGTATATACCAATTTAAAAGAGTAGCTAGATACTAGGAATTCAGAGTATAATAAGTATAAGTACTAATATAGAAATAACTAGATAGAAGGTATTCTATAGGATCTAATTAAAGAGAAGAAAGGATTATAGGACCTATCTATAGATCTAGTAGATAATTATATTAATAGTAAACCATCTTACTAAAAAGACCAAAGTACTCTTATATAGTATACCGGTTTAGTATCCGAGCTATTAGTAGAATAAATCCTGGTTAATAGCAAGACCAGTATCTCTTATATTAGTAACTCGAAAAGCCCTTTCCTAATTAATATCTGCCCGGGTTATAATTATCTTAGAGTATTATGGTTTTATATTAAGATTAATCTCTCCTCTTGGTTTCCGGTAGATATCTATCCAGACTACTTTCCCTTTAGAGATTACTATAGCTAGGGTAATGCCTTTTAATCCAGATATATATTTATTAATTATCCTAATCTGGAAACCGGAGAAATAAATAGAGATAACCGTATTATATATATCCGCCTTAGTAAGGACCGTAATAGCCAAATTCTTATCCTTAGTAGTAGCCGTTTTGAGATATCTAAGGTTACTAAGTATATACTAATGAATTAGTACTATTTCTTTATAGATATTATAGAGCAGGACCTAAAGAAACTAGTTTCTATTCTCCTGGAACCCGAAAAGGCCGGATATTACTTAAAGGGCCCCAAGCTACCGAATATCCGCTCTTTAGAGGTATCCAGTACCTTTAATAAGCCTATAGAGAATCTAGTCAAGATCTCTAATAATTACTAGAACTATAGTATTATAGACCCAAAGATTAGGAAGACTATCTTCGAAAATATTACTATCTATAGCTATAATCCTCAGGTTTCTATCTTTAATATTCTTTCCTATACTTTAATATCTGCCCAGATATATACGGCTGCTTTCTATAATATCCAAAATATACTGGCTTTAGTAACCAGGTAGTAGTATAAGAGTATCTGTAATCTGGACTATCTTCTTTAAACTCTGGTATCCTGGACCAAATCGGATAAAGAAACTATAACTAACTTCTATAACCGGTTTAGGGGAGATTTACTAGATATTAGACAGGGTATTATAAATTATAGTACTATAGATTAGGGATATATAAAAAAGGTTAAGAGACTTATATAAGATATCCCTTACCTAGTAGATATACTTAATATATTCCCGGAATCTATCCTATTAATCCCTTATAGGTTTTATAGATAGCTCGCCTATATAGTATATAACGGGCTAGACTATAATACCTTTAGGAGATCTATAATCAGAATTAATACCCTAAAAGAATAGAGTAATACTATTATACCGGAAACCCTACTTATTACTCAAGATACTATATAACAGGTATTCCCGTAACTCGGCTACTATAAACCAGACAAAGATTATACTAACTAGCTACTTCAGAAGCTCTTACTTGGTTAAGGGAACCATAATACTATCCTGGTCTCCGTACCAGGAACTACTAGTCCCACTTTCTTATTACGGAAGAGAAAGGAACCTAGCTCCCTAATGAGATCCTCCTAGCGGATCGCTAATAACTTTATACCCACTAAGATTCTATAGAAGAAGGCAAGAAAGAGTAAAGCCCCCGAGATTAAAGAACTATGGAAATGGTCAGACCCCGGTACTAATAACCGGGTACTAAAGATATAGGCAGCCTATATCCTGCTTAATTTGCCTCGACCAGCTAATTATACTACTATAGTCAAGTCTATTAAGACCAAGATTAATAGTAAGAAGCTATTCAATTACCCGGCTACCGAATATAGCAAGATAACCTAAGCCATAATCCTTTCTTACTTATGTCTATGGTTTCCGTAGTAATCTTTCTTTTACGATTCCTATATAGACATTCTCTGATTAGAGAATAATACTATCGGATCTTTACCTCTTTATACCTTTTACTATCCGATATATTCTTTACTATAGATTAAATATTCTTCTGGTCTTTATTAATTAGACGGATATTCGCTGGCCTTTATTAGTTAGATTAGTTCTATAAAGTACTAGATACTACGGTTTGGTTATGGATAAACTTAAGTAATTGTTTATGGCTGGAACTAGTCTTTAGTAACTGGTACTCCGAATGGATAGGAAGTTTCTTTTTTATTATTTATTATTTTATACAGATGGATCGATTATAGCCGCTACGGGAGCAGCTTTTCCTTACTCTAGGGGGGGGAGATATCATGGGAAGGACCAGACCTTCTGTACCTTAGTCCCTTAGTCAGCGGTATCCATGCTAGCCTCCTTAAGAGGCAGTAGCAGTTCGTCCATCAAAATGCATACATTTTGATCTCTTCTTCTTCCTTGACATTAAGCTTCAGCATATGACAAGCAATGTTTGCACGACGATATAACTGAGCCAGTATTTGGGCTCTCTAAGACTTGCAGGGCCGGTATCGTTAAGGATTGATTATAAAACGAGAACGAATCGATGGTGAAGATAATGATTTACCGCTGAATCACGTGGGAATTCACCACATAATGAGGAAGTAGAACTTTTCAGGTACGAGCTTTTCTCTAAAATACTGGAAATAGCTGAAGAGCCCGCTATTGAGTTACGACCGACCTTCCTTATCTTTACGATTCGTCAATTATATATTTTGTCGGTGAAGCGTTGAAACAGACCAGGCTAGATATATTGCAGTTTTATAATTAATAGTCAAATATCCTTCGTCCTAATTCATCGCCAGTACCCTCTCCAGAGCCTCTCCTCTCCCAATTGCGAATTCAAAGCCAGATCGCTTGGCAGAATCATCCAGCAATCGAATGCAAATACGCATCGGAGACTCTGTTTCATCGACTCAGCAGCCATGGCCTGAGCTTCGTCTGTCCGGAGAATTTGCCACTTTCTACTCTTTCAGTCACCGGCCGGTGTGGCTCGGACTCTTGGCTCTAACACTTGTTGCTGCTTTGCCAAGATTTGTCCATCACTCTCGTCGATTCGGAGAATTTCATTCCTTCAAGATCGGCATTTAGAGGCGGAGAAATGCACCTGATGCATGAAATCTTGGCCAACCCAGACATCACCACGCAATGCCTGCAGAAACATTTTAGCTTTCCAGTCGCATCTTCCAGACTGTTTAGGCTTCACAATGCCCAATGAGATCCAGACGTGGAGGAGAAACGTTTGGGCACAGACTGCGCCTTGATGGAATACCCCGGCAAACGAGCGGAGGTTGAAACGGATTCGCGAGGATCCCCCAAAACGGAATGTCTTAGCCAACAGGATCTGATAAGTCGTCCGACACGGGGACTGAAATGGAACAACATCCGATGGTTTGGACGTGAATTTCGGTGCCGTTTGAATCGTTTTCGTGAGATCACGGCCCAATGAGAAGAGAACTTGGGAAAGTGGAACGCAGATGGAACAACTTCGTCGATGCAGCGCATGGGTTTCCTCCGTTAATATGAACTAGTTTGGTGCAGCCGTTCTTCTCCACTCCAAGCAGATCTTCATTGACTCTATGAATTTTAATACTTCCCTTCAGTGTCGATATTCGTTATGAAATTCTTCCACGTCCTCTCCTTTCTCGCCATTTTGAGTGTCACTCTTTCCTACCCAATCGGCAGTCGTTCTCAAGTCGCATCTCTAGATTTCAGCGCGGCTACAAATCCCAATGATGCCACAACAGCGGGAGGGTCTGCGGATTTGAGCGGCTCGACGTCAGCGGCATCGAATACCACTCTGGACGTGAGCGAAGGAAAGACTGATGCAACCTCGAAAGGCTCCACTGGACAATCAGCCGTCGCAAAAGCATCTCTTGGGTTATTTGGATTTTCTTCCAGGATGCCATACATGGCAGCCGTGCAGCAAGCAGCAATGAACTTCGCAGAAGATGCCAATACCGTTTCTGCAAGCCTGAACCAACTTCCAGCCGAGACATCAGCAAATACCATCAAATCGCTAGCTACGACCGCCTTCAACGCCGAGTCTGACGAAGATGCTCAGAGAGCAGTCCTCGCAGCCGCAGCAGGATCCGCTGGAAGTGCATCAAACACCAAGATCGTGGAGAATACTCCAACGGTTCTGAAAGGATTGAAAGCTATCATGCAGAATCCAACAGCCTCGGCTGTCCAGAGAAATGTTGTCACAATTCAGAATGCGAGGTAAGAAGATCGAGATTCGAGAGAAATGAGACTGACGGAAATAGAAATCCCAATATCTTGCCCAGCATTACGCAGCTTTCAAACTCGGCGTTGAAAGCTGTTGGGTCGACGATGACGCAGCAGAGGTTTCCTGCAACTGGGCAGTGAGTTGAATTGCGATTAGGCCTCGGATTAAGTTGTAATGTATACAGGATTGGGTCTATAAAAAGAATGTACATTACCCGAAGGCTTGATGTTTTGATGGAATATTTATTGTTCGTAATGCAAAACTGTCTGTCTTATTCAGGTCTTGTCTATCTCTATATCACGATTGGAATCCAAAACTATTTCTTTTATACATGCTATACACATATCCTTCTGTTCGGGTCAGGGTCAACTTCCCATACAAGATCCTTCTTGATAATCATGCGCTGGCTGTCAACACTCGCCCCATTATTTCTCCTCGGCACTCCACCCGACCATATACGGTAATTATACTCATCGCCCTTGCCCTTGGGCCTTAAGGTCAACATCTGAAAGGAGCCAGACTGCTGATCACCGCCTGTCTCGTTGGCATGTCCAGCCCCGTAGCCATTTGCTGGGCTTGCTCCATAGTTGGTAGCGAGCTTCTTGATGAAGGGGCGGAGGCGAGGGATCGTTGCTGCAATGATGGAGTACGCAAGCTCTGTTTGTGTCCAGGTGATATATTCGGCTTGAAGGATGGTCGGATTGGTAGTCAGGCCGGCAACATTGAAGGTTGCGAGGCGGAAACCGATGGCGATAATTAAGCTGCGTGCGATGTTAGTCTTTGAATTGGGTACATATATGGATATGCGGGGTGGATTAACGTACGGAAGACGCATGCTGAAAGTAAAGATCACCGTCCACTTTATGTCGAGGGCGGCCTGGAGGGCCGAGACGAGATTGATGGTCACGCCAACCAGGGAGAGTTCAAAGGCAATGTCGAAGCCGGAAATGAGCTTCAGTCGCAGAAACTGCATATGGGTCAGCTTTCTTTCAATCTTATGGATGAGAAACAGGGAGTTTTACAACTCCAGGGCAACTTTCTTGTATCAAGATCCAAGGGCGCGACAGATTGCATTGCAGAGCGACGGTAAATGTTGATGCCACCGTCCACACAGCCATTAAAGTAATGATCCCATACAAAATACGCATGTGTCCCTTTTGCGGAGTCAAGCGCAAGAGCAGGAAGGCAACTGAAATCTTGGACAAGCCGAGAGAGACTACGAAGAGCAGGTTGCTGACATAGTACATCTTTTACACGATTATTAGTAGGAAGGCACCGAGTGTGGCTCGAGGGAAACATACCTGCTGCACCTGGATCAGACTTCTGTCCGATAAGAGCTCGATCGATTTGCCCAGGCCTTTGGCACATGCGCCTAAGACGACGGAAGATTGAATACATGCGAGTACCTACAATTCAATTAGGCTTGGAACTGTGGGTCTCACGATTCGCGGATGGCATTGGCACAAACTGTTGCTGAGGCGAGACAGGCTTCGTCCAAGCCAGCTCTTACACTATTTGTTTGCCGAATGGAGAGGTTGATCAGGCTGAAGAGTAAAATGCACGATAGGCACAATGGTGTCGCGATGAGGATCCATGCCGAGTGATCGCTTTCCGTCACCACGGCGAAGGGGGGGTATTTTCCGGAGGGCTCAGCGATAGAGAACGGTGTTTCTGACATGATTCAATCTGGGGTTGACAGTTGTGCCCCAAAAAGGGGGGCCGCGAAGGAAACACAGCTCTTTTCGAAAAGTTGCCTTTGAAATGGTTGATGTTGTTGCTCGAAGACCTGCGTAGCTTGATATGTACGGGTGCAAGCATGAACGGTCGATCGTCCCGTGGGGTTGTTTCGAACTAGGGGGACCAACAATGCCCTTGCAGGTGGGAATCCTCTTCCGAGCCCCACGGCGTGGTCCCCAAATCAGAAGTTTAAATCAGAAGCTTAAATCAGAAGCTTAAATAGAGATACTCTGTATAGGGGGTCTTGAGATGTAAACCCGTATTTATACAGCGCAGCAAGAAAAGCTGGAATCAAGACAGGTGATTGGTCAGACCACCTGCGATCCTAGCTGGTTCGCCGATAACACTCCTGTAAACAGGTGACAATTAACAAACATTTCGCAGTGTAGGTAGTACTCTATATAATGCCAATTAATCTGGACTGGGCCATTCTTTCGATATTGCAACCTTAAGTCTCTTTTGGCCAATTTTTGTCATTCCTCACATTCCTCGTGCCAAAGCGGGTCAGAGATTCAGAGCTGGCACATTTCATCATGCCAGGGAACACGGAACCGGCTCCCCGTCCGGGCGCTGCTCAGTGCTCCCAGTCTCCATACCACAGACCCGGTGGACCAGTGGATGAAGGAATCGACGCATGGGTCAACCGAGAACACCAAATCCTCAGCAAAAGTCAGCACTTCCAAGATTATACAGAAACGCCGTGCTATATCCGAATATCTCGAAATCAATAATCCGACAGCAATTCTACACTCTCTACTCGATGTATTAGGCGGATAATTCCAGTTTGCGTTAGCTATGCGAACACTAAGTAAATTTACTCCTCACCCAATTTTTGGTGGCTTGGCATGAGCCGTGCATGAATTCATTCAACCACTACCACTGGTGATACGGTGCGCCACTGTTGCACAAGGAGCGCAGCGACCCCCTGCGAAAGGCGGGAATGCAAGGTGCGCCCACAGTCCAAAGCTCGAGCTCCCGCCCCCTGTTCGACTGTCAACAAGACTTCCAAGTTCCAAGGCTAAGGGAATGCGTTCAAGCCACTCGTGAGTCTGGACTGGCTCTTCGTATCTCCGGCGAATAACGAGGCGGCTCACCAGCTCTCACATTGAAGGAGGGAAAGGAAAATGGGACGACTCTACAGTACCGTCATCGCCTGGGCGGGGACGAAAATGGGAAGCGAGTGTTTCGCTTGGGCTCGAGGCAAAGGGTTGCTGAGACCACGAGTGGCCAGCAGCCTTTAAGCGGATGTAGCTGCGTGAGGGATTCTCAATGGGACTCTTGCAGCTTGACTGAAGCTACTTGAGGGCTTCATTCGCTTGCTATCTCCGGAACTGTCATGCCTTCCCATGCCTGTCGACCAGGGCCTGCTGAAGCGTCCGAGAAACTGGCATTCCCCACATTCCAGCTTCCTTCTCAACTCCCTCGCACAAAGATTGCTTCCTTCTACCCCCCAGGAATCAACACCTGCCGGTCCATTCACTTGTGCTTCTCTGTTTCCCAATTCTCTGTCTTTGACGAAACATCATCACACCGTGATGGACACCTCTCAAGTCAACAAATCCCCGATTGACGACGTCCAAATTGTGGAAAAGGAGCCTGACGATGGAGGGATTGCCTCCCGGTACCGAGGCACTGCAGCCGACAAGAGAGACATGATGGTCTTAGGAAAGACACAGGTCCTTCGCGTGAGTAACATCGACAAACCGCATTGACTGAGCTCCTGAACTAACTTTGGCCAGCGCAACTTCAAGTTCATAACAATGTTGGGATTCGCGAGTACTGTTACGGCAAGCTGGGAGTTTCTGCTACCGTGCGCATTCTGATCCTCTATGGGCTCCTACAGACTGTCTAACTCCCCAATAGACTCTTCGTCTTCGTTTTGATCGATGGTGGTACAGCTGATCTGTTCTGGGGGTTTATCGTTGTTGCAATTGGGATTTCACTTGTCTACGCAAGTCTTGCAGAGATAGCGTCCATGTGAGCATCAGTATGCCACTTTCTCTAGAACCATATCTGACTTTATATTTAAGGTGTCCAACTGCTGGAGGGCAATACCATTGGGTTTCGGAGTTTGCGCCTCCCAAGATGCAGAAGCTTCTGAGCTACACTGTTGGTAGGTATTTCCATTGCTTCATGGGCGATTCTTCTCACAAATGCTGTTAGGTTGGCTTTGTGCAATAGGATGGCAGGTTTACCTTGCTGGTGATTGCTTCATGGTTGGCACCATCATCCAAGGATTGAGAGCTCTGAATGTAGCCGACTACGAGTGGAAAAACTGGCACGGCACCCTCCTGACGATTGCCGTCGTTGCTTTCTCCATCGTATTTAACACGTTCTTGGCTACGCGGCTTCCACTTATCGAGGGTACCGTCTTGATCCTCCATCTAGCGGGCTTCTTCGGCATCATTATCCCTCTATGGGTTATGGCTCCTCGCGCTCACCCGCACATCTTGCTCGAATTTAGCAACAATGGAGGTTGGTCAACCACAGGCGTGTCGGCAATGATTGGTTTGACCACACCATTGAGTGTGCTCATTGGATACGATTGCTCGGTTCACATGTGTAAGGACTTTTCACTGTTCAAATCTGGCAATGAAACTTCCCGCTGATACACCTACAGCCGAGGAGATCCAGGACGCCTCGCTCACTCTTCCAAGGGCAATAATGTGGTCTGTGGTCTCCAACGCCGTTCTGTCATTCATTATGGCAGTTACCTTGATCTTTACCCTGGGCGACATCCAGAGTGTCCTAGAGACACCGACATTTCAGCCTTTCATCCAAGTTTTCTTCAATGCTACTCAAAGCTATGCCGGAACGAACGTGATGACGACAATTGTCATTATATTACTGGTATCTTGCTGCATTAGCGAAGTAGCAACGGCATCGAGGCAAATTTGGTCTTTTGCTCGAGACAAAGGTTTGCCTGGCTCGAATTGGCTATCACGGGTGAGTTGGGTTTGTATCAGTACGTGAGCTTGACTGACTAGCTAGGTAACTCCTGGATGGAATGTTCCCGTTCGAGCGGTCTTTGTTTCGGTCGTAGTCAGCTCTTTGCTTGCTTGCATCAATCTCGGCTCTTCGACTGCCTTGAATGCCATCAACTCTCTCGGTGGTGTCTCAATTCTCTCTTCGTACTTCATCACAATCAGCTGCCTGGTCTGGAGGCGGGTTTCAGGGAAACCTCTACCACCACGACGATGGTCACTGGGGAGGGTTGGCTTGGCAATCAACATTGCGTCGCTTTTATTCCTGGCACCCGTTTGGTTCTTTGCTTTTTGGCCGCTTGCGACGCCCGTAACATCCGGAACTATGAATTGGTCTTCTACGATGTTTGGTGGGACCATTCTGTTCGCACTTGTCTATTACGCTTTCTGGGCTCGACATCAGTACGTTGGACCTGTACTCCAAGTAAAGCGAGACGAGTAAATTTGCAGGAGAAATTCCTAGAGCACGCTTCGTCGGATAAAGATTATGTTGTTAGTGTGGCGCGTACATAGCTAATAGAATATCTAAGATCAAAATGTTGCCTAGATTGGTGTCCTGTTCCATGATTATATAGTTCCTGTGGGCATTTTCGATCGTCGCTATGCTACCCGTTGCTACACTTCAAAAGTTCCAACTCACTTTTAATGCGATTCCAATCCACATGCTTGAGGTAGAAAATTTGTTACTTAACCCAAGGTTTGGCAAGCTTTTCCCTGTCCTAGCTTTGGGTATTAATGGAAATTTATGAAGTGTTCCTCATGGAGTCTCGTGTCTGCTACTGACTGCAGATACGACAAGCAAGGGTCATGACCCACATTTCATTTCGTACTGTAGCCCAAGAAAGTGTGTGAGTCTGCAGATCAGCCGATGAGAGTTCATAAATTTCCGTCTTCTCATAATTTAATTAAAAATTGACGCAAAAAGATCCCGGCTACTCGCAGGCATTTCCTCACGCTGTTTGGGCCGGCTCGACTTGCGAGCTGGGGACAGCAATTCTAACTTTATTATATAAAAGGGCTTCCACTCTACCTATTATAATAGAAACTTATTTTCTTACGAGCCCTAACAATTCAATTGAAATGCATTAATCCAATAAGTTGCGCTATTCGTGGTTATATTGTAGCATACAAATGTCTGAGTTTTTCTCCACTCCTCATCCGTTTTACGATTCTGCCCTCAATCTGAAAGGCTCTCTCAAACAAATACAGCCCTCACCAACTCAGCATTATGACGACACAAAGCTCCCTTGCAGGCCTGGAAACATATGAGAACCTGAATGTTGAATACGAAAACGCCTACGCAGACAACACATTCAAAGAAGCCTGCATCACAAAGCCATATCTATACTTGCTTCTGGATCGCGACTTATAGACGTGGGATGTGGAGCCGGTATGGCAGTTGCGGACATGCTATCTTGGGCAGAGCTTGATGTTGTCGGCTTCGACATCTCACCCAAGACGGTTCGCCTCGCACAGTCACGAGTCAAAGGTCTCTACACTATCTCTGACATGCTCAGCTACGATCCCGATTGCCAATTCGCTGCTGTTTTCATTGTCTTTTCTCACCTACCGCTCTCGTTTGCAGATTTCAGCGCCGCTGCTTACTAGTTCGCTAGCGCACTGCAACCTGGTGGGGGGATTTTGCGCCAAGTAATACCTGTGACGGCGGGATCAATGCAATGGTCGAGGCACAGACTTCAGAGAATCTCATGTATTGAAAATACTAAGCTAGAGAGTAGAGGAGAAGGGAATGCCTCGACCTTTAGTAGTGCTTTGCCAACCTCTAGATTTCCACCGTGTGTTGCACTGTACCATGTCGGCGGTAGGAACACGGGCAAACCCACATGAGATCACTCGTATAAATGACGTGAAGGAGCTTGTTAGATCGTGGGTCTTGTCTCAGGCGTTTGAAATCGGTTGAAATACGAGAATGAATTTCGTTCACACTGCTAGGGAGGTAACCAAGCCTCGGTTAGAAATTGTAACCCCTGAAGCTAAACCTATTTTGGTGAGCCCTTTCAGTCCAAACAGGGGCAAGGCTCCAAGGCACTGTCGTTGGTTATAGTGGGTGCAGTTGACGAACAAGATCGGGAAAGTATTTGGTAGCAAAGCTCTATATTTCAGCAATATTAATATCCGAACCTTTTGCCCTCCCCCATGCTCACTAAATAACTTTTTTCGCCAGTGTAATCTCTTTATGACGTATCGTGTCTATAACCTTTTAACAAGTTCACGGCAAAATTTAACGGCTAAAAGAAAGAGGGCTTGTTATCAAATCAAAGGTCATTCCAAACTATCGGGTTTCTTATTAACGGTTAAAGTCTCTATCCGCAGTGAGAATTGGCTCTATCTAGTGAGTTGCAGATATCGGTTAGGGTACACGTCCGAGGATTAGAGGAAGTGATTTGGTGAGGTACAGTAACCCTACGCGAGAGGCACACGGGTGTCGCGAAGTACTGCAGGCTGACCGGTTCAATTCGTTAAATGAGAAGAAGGTTCAAATTTAATCAATGAGAATGTTTCGTGAAACGCTCGGCTGTGTTAACACGTTAACACAGCCTAATTACAAGGCCGTGAGTTGTGAAGCTTTAAATCCGCATCTGCATCAGCCCAGCCCCTCCAAAACCTTCACGATATCGAGAACATTTTGAAAATTCTCTCTTGAGGCCGACTATAGAAACCATGGCGGACGGTTTGCCCATCGATGTCGGGCTTCCTATCTCTCATTTCTTAAGTGTTGAACTGACGTGCCCAGGCTTCCGACGATATCAATGACAATGATTCTGCAATCTCAACCGTTCGTACTTGAAAGGACATTCTCTGCTATTGACTTGGGGTTGACCGATCTCAGGAAGACATCGACTCGACAGTTTCAATCGGCTCCAGCATTTTGAAGTACCGAGAGGAAAATGGGAGAACATACCATGCCTACAAAGACGGAAGTGAGTTATTCTCTTTCGGTTGCACAGCTGCCGTTTGATTAACAATTGCCAGAATACTTACTGCCTAATGATGAGGTAAGATTGCCCCCTCCTTCCGTGAAGCTTCGTTAACAAAAAAAGAGTGAGAATGACCGGCTTGGTACGATTGTTCCCTCGGATAAAACCCCACTAATGCTGTGAAGACCTCCAACATCACATGTGGTGCCTGACTTTCAGCGGCAAGTTATATCTCGCTCCAATCCCGAAAGATCAAAAGCTTCACCGCGTTGCCGATCTTGGAACCGGCACAGGAATCTGGGCCATCGACTTTGGTATGGTGCCTCTATCGGGATCGAATAAAAGCTAATTCGTCAGCTGATGAACATCCTGAATCTTTGGTATGTTCAGGACACTTCTACAACAGGCAGTGCTGACCAAATACAGGTCTATGGTATTGATCTCAGCCCCATCCAACCCAGCTTGTATGTCTACAAATAGATGATCATGAAATTCCCGCTAACGATTAGCCTTCCTCCAAATTGCATCTTTGAGATCGACGATATTGAAGAACCGTGGACTTACAAGTACAAATTCGACTTTATTCATCTCCGCATGATGACAGGGTCAATTGCGGACTGGCAGAAGTGCTTTCATCAATGCTATGAGTAAGTTCTCCCCCCCCCCCCCCCCCCCCCCCCCCGCGGGACACCCACTTACCTCAACCAGGAGCCTCAATCCAGGAGGCTGGATTGAGGTCAAAGATATGAGACTTCCAATTGAGGACAATGACGCATCATTCCCTGAGGGTTGTGCGGTCAGAAAATGGACAGAACTCGCTATGGAAGGAGCCGCGAAAATGGGCCGCCCTCTCAACAGCGCTATCGAATACAAGGCACAGCTCGAAGATGCGGGCTTTCACAACGTCAGAGAGGAGATGTTTAGGTGGCCTCAAAATAAGTGGCCTAAAGATGCAAAGCTGAAAGAATTGGGCAAGTCATCTCGTCCCTTCCGCAAATTGCGCACTAATGAAACAGGGATGTGGTTGTGCGAGAACTTCACCAGCGGTCTCTCAGGCCTGAGCATGGCACTTTTTACCCGGGGACTGGGATGGACTCCTGAAGAAACAGAGGCCTTCCTAGTGACAGTCAGAAAAGATATGAAGGACACCAAGATCCATGGCTACTATACGATGTAAGCAACTTCAATGTTACTGCAAAACCCAGTGTTAACCATTGCAGCTCTGTCATATACGGTCAAAAACCAGCATAATAAAACATCAACTTACTGGGATACGGAGCAAAACTGGAGATTTTCATTCCTTTAGAAGTGAAGCAAAAAGCAGAAAAGATGCCTTGAAATAGTTCTCCTTGCAACTAGTGTCTCATTTTGACTCATTCCGGGCAAACTTCAGAAATAGATTCCTCCATTCCGTACCTGACGTTGATTGTAGCCAATATATCTAAACAGAGAAAGGCTAACACTACGCCTACCAGGACACGCAACTTCCTTCGTGGGGACAATTCTCGGCCCCACAATTGTGGGTGGTGGGGATCCCCCTTCGCCCCGAATGATTCGTGTCCCCTGCATGAAATAGAAGAAAGTCCACCGGACTCAAAGTTTAATCGAAAACTCTCCATTCTATTCTGGGAGCCTCGTAAGCTCCCAGGGAGATCTTTATGAACCTCGCGTCAACTTCAATGAAGGAAGATGCCGGATCAACCCGGTCGTCCTTGAATCACTGAGACTTATGCCCCGCAATTGTCCCGAAGATTTTGATCGACATGAGTATTTGATGTTCAAACCCCCAAACATGTTGCGTTTCATCTGAGTTCATCCCTATCAGTGCCAATCCTTCTTCACCATGAGACTTCTCGCCGTTCTCTCACTCGTCACCAGCCTTGTCTCAGCGCAAAATGCCACAACCACAACTTCATCTCTCCCAACGGTGACTCTCGATTACAGCACAATCGTTGCCGCAGCTGCAAATCAGACTGTCGGTTACTACAAATATCAAAATATCAGATTCGCAGCTGTTCCCACAGGAACTCTCCGGTGGGACAAACCCCAATGGCCACCCTTCGAAACGGCAGTCAACGATGGCAGCTTGGCCGCTTCCGATGTAGATTGTGCTTCAGAAGAAGACTGCCTCTACATGGATATTTGGGCTCCTGCAAATAGTGCAAACAAAAGTTTGCCTGTCATGGTGTGGACCTACGGCGGCGGTTTCACCGGAGGTAGTAAATCGCAAAACACACCGGAAGGTCTATTCGATTTGTCAACAGACTTCGTTTTCGTTGCATACAACTACAGACTTGGCATGACTGGCCTTGCAAACGGTCCAACTCTGCTTCATGAGGAAGGAACATCGAATGTGGCACTTTGGGATGTGCAACACGCTTTCGAATGGACAAAAAAATACATCAGCGCGTTTGGTGGGAGCCCGGAGAAGATCACTGCCGTTGGATTCTCTGCTGGTGGGTCTCAAACGCTGTTCCAGTTAACTGTAAGTTTGAACCGTGTTGCAGAGCTCTGTGCTGACGCTCTCAGCGATTTGCCGGCCGTGCTGAACAGCTTTTCGATCGAGCGTATGTGATGTCTCCAGGATTCGTACCCGGATCTGGACATCATCACTCTGAGGTATGTCCTCCCTATCTTCCGCGGGGCGAACGCTAAAACGTACAGACTTTCTGGCAAAATGTCTCGTCTGCTGTCGGCTGTGATGGCGGCTCATTGGATTGCATGCGAGAAATTAGTTTCGATGATCTCAACACTGCTGCAACAGACCAAGTCGACAGTTACACGTACCAATTCCAGCCTCGCGTTGATGGAGATTTTGTTGCAGACACCTGTCAGTATCATTCCCAGATATGATGTAAGACGCCTCTCACACTTTGCAGACGAAGCCCAATTGTATCAAAAGAGATTCAACTTCAGTGGCCCCTTCGTGATCACCCATGAGCAGCACGAAGCAAACAGTGCAGCGTGGTCAGGGGTAAATACCACAGAAGACGTTACCACCTATCTAAGAATCTTCTTTCCCGCAATAACAGACGACGTCATCAACCAGGCTTTGGAATTATATCCCGAATCAGATTATTCCAGCCCAGGACTACGGTTCTCGGATATGAAGCAATCATTTGATTTGACAGCCCACAACCTGGCGCTGACTCAAGCTCTCAACAATCAAACGTGGAATGCAATGGTTGCTCTGGATCAGGCTACTCACGGGACAGACCAGAGTTATTATTGTGAGCATTCTTCCTCAGTGCTCTGAACTCTTGATTGACAGAAATTAGGGTACAGCACATACACTCTCTCTTCAAGTACCACAACAAGCTCAACCACCAATTCGACCGTCACTTCTTCTGCTACTGCTGCTGCAAGTTCTGGCTCGGTCCTCTCAAATGGCCCCACTGGTGGGATAGGTGGAGGTTCCACAGTCAACGCAACAATAGCTGTAGGTTTCCGCGACACCTCCTCAATGTGCTGTGTTGACCTTTCCAGATTATGATGCAAAAATACCTTATGTCTTTCGTGCTGACAGGAAATCCCAACACTTTGTGGGCTGATGACAAGCTTGACTGGCCTCTGTATAATACGTCACCTGCGGGCACAGAGTTGGTGTTTAATACCACGTTCTATCTTGAGGACGACAATCTGGCAAATGCCAAAAGTTTGTTTTGGAACAAGGCGATGTGGTATTGAGATAGAAGAACAAGAAAAGAGGAATCTATTGTCCTGATACCCCACAGAATCATTTCGAGAGACACGATAATTAGTGCACTTCTTTATTGCATTGCTTTCGACTCTCCCGAATCCAAAGTTGATATTGATAGGGTACTACTTCAGTGGTTTCGGTGTGAATAAATCTGTACCAAAAGGTGAAGAATTTGAAGCGTCCTACCAAACTCTGTGAGAAACTTCCAAGTAAATGTTTAATCTCGATTTTTCTTCACCTTCGAACACCACCTATCTCGACCATCAACCGCAGCCACGATATTGCCTAAAGAAGCAGCGCTTTCTCTGGTTCTTCCTACTATTCTTTCCGTATCTGCAGGTCAACTGAGGCTTGTCGGAGCGTGAAAGCTCGTGTAGCCTTGCAGAGAAAAGACGGGATCTCCTTAGCACTCTCGAGGTAAGATTTCACCTTTACCTCCGTATAAAAACGCGAAGGTGATGCGCAAGTGAAAGTGAATATGTGATAAAACTTCCTCGGCAGCCATGTCGTAAAGGTTTCTCCATCAACCCGACTTCGCGAATTTACTCCCACCACTGAGACCCTCACGACAATTTCAATCTATCGCGATGAATTGAAGGTTAGGTGGTGATGAGCTTCTCCTGGCGGGCAGGAGAGAGACGCCGACGAGGTTGCCCTGAGGCCTCGAGGGTCTGTAGGAAGGGAGGTTGCTTTGCCTGTCCATCACATCGAAGCATACGACTCGTTCTCACTTTCCGAGCGCGATAGCAGCCGACAATTGGGATCCGGCGGCGCAGAAGGTGATGTTTATCTACGCGCTCACAATTGAGAAAGCTGGGGAATGGGCATTCTGTGTGCCGTACGACGACACATGGCGCCCAGCACTTCGCGATTGGGGCCACATGTTCGCAGTCAAGGGAACCGGGGCGAGCATTCAGCACTACAAGGTGTCTGAAAAGGGCACGCTGCTGTGCAGGAGTCTCTCGTCGTGCAGAAATATCAAGAACTGCTGCGGGACATCCCAGTTCATTCTCAATGGGTGCAACTGAACCAGGATAACCCAGACGAGTATACTGTCTCTATCACATTGCCAACCATCCCAGGACTAGGAAAGAATGCTGGAAACTTCATCGACGAGGATGACGAAATCGGGGTCTTCTTTGAACCGAAGCCAACTAAAGTCCTCCACCCCATTACCAAAGAACCGATCATTCCTCCTGCGTCGTGGAACGGCATGATCGTTCGCCCCGACGAGCTGGAAGGCAATACCGGCACTCACGTCATAAGAGTCTGGCGCCACCGTGACGGAGCAATCTCGGATACGAGAGCAATCCCGGCAGAAAAGTCATGGGCAAAGCGCTGCCCATACATTCCAATTTATATTCAATTGAAGGAGTCGACCCGGACTGTGCGCGCCAGATTGAACGCCCTCGGCCGTATGCATCCACGGGCTGCCAAGTGGAATCGGACTCCCTCTGATCCGGCGGATGCATGCGATGCTGGAGATGAAGCAGAGATGATCTTGAACATGGTTGCTGGAGAGGAGGCAGATGAGATGGAGATCGGTCCTGCATATGTCCAGAAGCTCATCGATTATACACGCCAACGTGCAATCATTGTCGGTCATGAAGTCTCGGAAGTCAAGCCGTACGATTTCTTCGAGACGCTCTCGGAAGAACAGAACACGGAGGTGCTATCCAAGTGCACTGAGCGGCAGAGAGAAGATCTCAGGGAGATTGCGAGAAGCGCGCCCAACGGGATCTTGCCAATCGTCGGTGCTGGAGGCACAGGAAAGACGACATTCACGATTCGTCTTCTTCGAGCTGCGTTCTTGCAAGGGAAGACTGCTCTCGTGACCTCATCTACCAACGCAGCAGTCAACAACATCGCCATACGTGCTGCTGCTGACAGGCTCGGCAAAAATACCTGAGGTATCGATAAGGAATTGATAGTTACTGGTATTAATAAGGTATTAGTAAGTATTAATACGTATTAATTCCTTATCGATTCCTATACCGCTTCTTACCCCGCACCCTCTAATTTTTCACTCTCTCTATTCTCACATCTTTTATTCTCATTCTATTTGGATCACACACTCAAAATGTCTTCTTCGTATGAGCTAGACTCTTCCTCTCTAGCTTCTGCTTTTGTAGATCTAGAACTAGAAGCCCCTTCTAGCCGAAAATTGAGGGCCCCGGTCTGGAAGCATATACGTAATCCTACTGAGAAGGAGAACCAAGCCCACTTCTATTATATCTATTATAATAAGGAAACGAGAAAGCTATATTATACTTCTCTTTTAGAGAATATAAAGAAGTATATATAAGGCTTTTACAAGATCCCTATTAAGATAGCTATTAGTAAGAATCAAGTAATAGTTAATTTGTAATTAAGGCAATATTACTACTAAGCTACTAGAACAAGCGAGTAAGAGGAGCTTAATACTAAGATCCTAGAAGCTCACCTTAATATCTCGGTTATTCTTAAAGCTTTAATTACTCTTATTATTATACGGAATCTGTCTTATACTCTTATTAAATAGCTAGAGTTCCATATACTTTGCCAAGTACTTAATTAAGCTATTAAAGGCAAGATTATAACTTTGTATTCAGGAATTACTAGCTCCGTTAAAGGCGCTTAGAAAGAGTACTAGGATACCGTATAATAAGTAGTCCAGGCTATACTCTTACTTATTTATATTTCTCTAAATATCTGGACCTCTCCAAATTAATTACTTTTACTTATAATCTATAGCTATTTTACTATATATAATAGAAAGTAATAAAAGGCCCTTCTTGCTTTAAAGCAGGTCTCTAGCCATAGCTCAGAAGCTCAAATCTCGATTCTTTAGCTAGTTCTTTAAGATTATGGTATTACTTATAAGCTTAAAGCTATTATATATAATAATATCTTAATAAATAATGTCCTTTATTAATTAGTTTAAAAGAAGCTAAAGGATAAGCTAAGCTTGGACTAGGAGGCAAATTACTAGTATATTCGCTATCTGGGCCATATTATTAATCTAGTTATATAAGCCTTCTTATTTACGAATTAGGTTAGCTTAGAGAATCTTAATTTATATAATAAGCAGGAGCGGTATACTAGAGTCTTTAATATAATAGAGGTAATAAAGGCCTAGTTTAGGCTAATGGGACTTCTTGGCCAAGTATATAATATTATGGTTTATATTCGTAAATTAGCTAGAAGAATAGAGGAGTTTCATATATTTATAAAAAGGCTAATTCTAATAGATAATTATATGAGATAAAATAGCTAGTATAAGATACTTCGTATATTATTTAACTTGAGGCCAGTAGTAGAAAGGTATTATTAAAACTATAAGGAAAAGCTTAAGGAGGATATCTTAACTCCTAAAAATTAGAAAAAGCTTTATATAATTAAGAACTTCCTTATACTCTTTATATAAGCTACTCTTGCGGCTAAGGGCTTAACTTCCCTTAATTCTATTCTCTTTATAATAGATATCTTAATTAAATATCTCTAATAAGAAAATATAAGTTATTCTTTTCTTTTATATAATCTCATATAACTATACTAATTCTAATAGGCTAAATATTAGAAAAGTAAGGATCTAGAGGAAAGAGACTTCCTTTATTAAATCAAGGCAATATATAAGATTCTAGATAATTATTATATAAGAACTAATATATCTCTAGTTTATACTATTATATTAATCTTAAATCCTTATAATTATATAAGATATATTAAGATATACTAGTTAAAGAAATAATTAAAGCTAGTTTTAGCTAAGGTCAAAAAGCTCTGGGAGAAATATCGGGAAAGGCCTATTACTATACCTATACTACTAGCTTTTTGGTATAAAGGCTCGTCTTACAAGATACTAGAACTAGATATATATAATTATATTACCTTATTTCTTAGAATAGAAGCTTGTCCTATAAATTAAGACGAGTTTAAGAACTATAACTTACTAGAATTATATAATCCTGGTAAATAGGGAGCCCTTATATAGTAGTATTAGGATATATAGAGGCAATACTAGCCAAGGCTCTTTCTTATAGCTATTAATATCCTCTCTATTTTACTAATAAGTAATGAGCTAGAGAGAGTATTTTCAGGGAGACGTTATATAATAAGCTAGGATAGGGTATAATTAGAGGCAGAGATAATTAAGATACGAGAGTACTTAAAGTATTAGAAGAGAAGCGGAATTCTAAATACTTTCCTTGAGACTAAGGAAGAAATCTGAGAATAAAGAGAGATTCTATACTTTTTATATAATACTTTAGGGCCAGATTAGAATCTCTTCTCTTAGTTTTTAGGTACTATATAAAAGTAATTGCAATTATAAGTAAAATTAAAAGAAGGTAAATATTAAGAGCTTAATATAATTTATTAAATATTATATAAAAGCCAGGTAATTATATAATATAAAGAGAGTAAGTAGCCCTATCTAGAACCTATAAACTTACTAGCTAGAATAAGCTCCAGGCTTTAAAACCCGTCTACTTCGTATAATTTTAGGAGATTTAGGCTTTCCTCCAGAACCTTTTTTTCCTCTATTATTATTAATATCTCATATAGTATATTAGGTTACATAACTATAATAAATATAGTTATTATATACCCCATATTATTCTTTACCAGGAATCCTTAAATACTTCACAAATATACCTTGACTCTTATTATAAGTAGTATAAGGAGTCTGGGTATTAACTTTACTACTATATTACTTAGTACAGATTATATAAACTCAGGAGAAGTAACTTATACTTACTGGGTCAAGATTATATTAATAACCTCAGGAAGAAGTAGGGCATTAAAGGTACCAGGAGTATAGGGACCCTTAATCGCAATATCTGAGGGTTCTGGATTATTAATATTAAAGGTACGCTTCTGCTAAGGGCTACTATTAATAACTGAGGGCTAGAGCTTATTTCCTCCCACACGAAGGAAGTACTGAGCCTTAGTATTATTAGAGGGGTCTATACAAGTTCAGATAACGAGATCTTATTGAGCTTGGGCT